CATATACACATATATATATATACATATATATATATATATATATGTTTACATACATATATACATTCATACATATATATATACATATATGTTTGTATATATACATATATACACATGTATATATGTATATAATTGTGTATGTATATATGTATTCGTTTATATGGTTATGTATATATATACACCATCACACACGCTATTTATAGCACCGCCATCATACACACAAATCTCTGTCATTATATCATCATCTTACACACATCGCGAGAAGCAGAGAGAGAGAGAGAGAGAGACGCAAAAGAGAGAGAGAGAGAGAGAGAGAGAGAGAGAGCAGAAGAACACCTTCCACATCCCGACGTCGTTTTTTTTCGCAGTGGACCCCGTTTTTTCTCTTCCGTGGGTCCTTGCGGCAAATGTTCATGGTCCCAAGGCCCGTCGAGGGCCTTCCGAAGGAACAAAACACATAGTATGTTTCCCGCGACGTCGGTGATGTGAGAGGGGGAAGAGCAGCAGCGCCCTGCGGCCGAGGGAAGAGGCCCTCCTGCGGCCCTCCTCCTCCTCCGCGACTTCTTCCTCAGGTCTCCGACGACGACGGGCGTTTTCTGGCCATGTTTCTTGGTGCCCTCGATGTCGTGGGCCTCCTTGGGGCCGTCAACGGGCCCTGGGACCGTCGCGCAACGATTCGCGATGAAAAGCTGGACCATCAGGAGGGGCCGCGTCGCGGTAAAACAAAAACGACGTCGGGATCTGGGGGGCAGGGGAGGGAAGGAAGAGGTGGACGAAGATAACGAGCTTTTGGGGGAGAGGGCCTTGCCTATCTAGGTTTCTTTACGCACCGTCCCCGTACCCGTCTTCTCTGCCACCCCAGGCCTGTCATATGACAGACTGGTCTGTCATATGACAGGCCCCGTCTGTCACCCAGCCTGGCTGGGAATTACGTTTTCAGAGTTCGACACTCGTCAAGCGGTGCTTCTCAATGGCACGCACGTGCAACAGGGACGGGTGCACCGTCTCAGCCAACTCAGAGCAGGCTCCAATCTCAGATTCGTCCATGCACTCCCAATGATCCTGCTGGAACCAGGTGGAGGATGGACACGGGCGGGGAGACAGGGGCAGGGGAGAGAGAGGAGGAGGGGGAGATGGTGATGGGGAGGGCGGCGAAGGAGAGGGAGAGAACGAGAGAGAGAGAATGCGGGATAGGGAAAATGAGATGGAGAACGGGCCGAAGACACCCTTGCTCCCCTCGGTCCGTCGGGTTTCCTGGCGAGCACGCTTCGGCGAGCTCCAAAAACATATGGTGCTTCGGCTTGATCCCCCAAGCCTTGTCATCCAGGGCGTAGTGATCCCGCATCACCCTGTAATATTCTAAGTGTTTGCGTGCGAGATCTGCCACTCTAAACGGGCTCGCCGCAGGATCCCAATTCTTGCACTCGTCGTATGTTCTCGCGAGCAGCATCACGCATCTCATCCTCGAGGCGGACGTGTCCCCCGTATCCACCCTCGTCCAGTCCCTCTCCCGCCTCCCTCCCGCCTCCGTTTACCCCCTCGCCGTCCGTGCTTGGGAACGGGGCGTAGTGCGCGGAAGGAGATTCGCCAGCATATTTTCGATTATCGGGACCATGTACCTACCTTCGGCTGCTTTTGCTTTGAGTTTCGGTGCTTTGCCTGCTTTCGCCCGAATCATGCCGAGGGTGAGGTGCTGGATCGGACACGTCGTGCCCAAAGCTCGCGCAGCCAGATTCAAAAGAAGCTCCAGCTTCGTCAGCACCTGGGGTCCAGGGCTCCACCGCACAAGATGGCGGAACAAACGCCAGAGCAGGAATAAGGCGAGGATGATGGGAGGGGAAGGGCGTGGTCAGGAGGTGCGAAATGGGCGGGGCAGGGAGGGCGAGGCGAAGGGTGAAGAGGTGGTGGGCGGTGAATGGACGGAATGGGGAAGGGCTGCCCCTCTGTCGCGCACCTTTCCCCGCCAAGAGCAGGTGGGAGAAATTGCGGGCGGGGGGGGGAGCTGGGGAGAGGGAACGGGGGTGTAGAAGGCGAGTGAAAGGGCGAAGGGAGAGGGAGGGAGAGTGAGAGGAAGGTGGAGAGCGAAGGATGGCGCCGAACCTATAAGCGTGCTTCAGCGTGTGCACCATCCATGGCAACAGCCTTGTGGCTTCTCCGCCGCATCCCGCGTGCGTCGCTCACAGGGCTGATGCCACGGCATGCGCCTGCGCTGAAACTCGTTCTGCACAGAGCGGCGCCTCCAGCGGATTGGACCTGGCCCCGCCTAGTTCTTTAAACACCTCCCACAGCACGTTCCCATTGACCTCGGACGCGACGCCCAGACAGCCGACGCGCATTAACCCTGGGCGCAACATTTTCCACGAAAACCCTGGTAGTGCTAACGGTTCCAGGTCCATGTCCAAGGTGCCGTGTATCAATAGTTCGAGGTACGACTTAGCCGTGTAAATGGTGGAGCGCCATCGCGCATGTCTCCCGAACTCTCCCATCTGCTCGACCGCGCAAGCACACCGATAACATATTCTCGCCGTGGGAGGCCCCCCCCTCCACCCCGTCACATTGAAGACTTGTTTGTACCACGCCCAGTCCCCGCGAATATCTATGCACGCACCCCTAGGTATCCTCATGTCGTGAGCTGCCTTCGCAGCCCTATCCCGATCACCCCAGTACGGGGAGTCTGCGAATGGTAAATCGTCGCGCCGCTTTGACGGCCACTTCCCCGCCAGCCAATACGTGAACATCCACCCGAGAACGCGCCAAACCTCTCGGCGGGAGGCGGGCTGTCAACGCTGCCGCACGCTGGGACTTCCAGGTTCGCCAAACAATAGAACCTCTAAGCCGTCCCAGCGTTGGCAGGGGTGACCGCCGTATTCAAACGCGACCGCGGCAGTTCGTTGGCGCCGACGTTCGGCCGCCCCCCTATTGAGAGCGGAATGGCGAGGAGGGCGCGAGGACGAGGGGGGGAGCGGGTTGGGGGGAGAGGCGGCAGAGAGCGTGACGGGGGAAGCCAATAATGGTTGCGGGGGGGGGAGGAGGGGGACGAGATCGGGAGGGGCATGACGGCCAAGCATCGACGCAAACGGAAATCGGGCCTCCGTGAACGTGCACTTGCCTGCGCACCCGCACTGGCACGTCTGGCGCTTGCCGAAGCACCCAAACCAAAAACGCTTGCGAGACCTGGGGGGGACGGTGAGCCACATCACACGCGCGGCCCTCGAGTGGTGTTACCCCCTCCGCTTATCTCCCTCTCTCTATATACACACATCTCGATCTAGCTCTCTTATGGTAACTGGCTTTCTCTCGCTGTATATATCTGGCTCGCTGTTTATTTCTCTCTCTCTCTCTCTCTCTCTCTCTCTCTCTCTCTCTCTCTCTCTCTCTCTCTCTCTCCATGGCTTGCTCGAGCCCCCTCCCCCCTCGAGGAACGCAAGCGTTCATTGCGGGGCGGGGGGCGGGGCGGGGTGTGAGGAATCCCACGGTTCTGTCGCGCCACAGGTACTTTCCCGTGAGCGCAGTGAGGGTCCATAGGTCAATAGAGTCTCGCGTGTGATAAGGCGCGCCATCCCCCCACAACCCGCGCAATATCAGCTTGTCAGTGGCAGCTCGGTCGAAGCCTATTCTGTCTGACCACTCGTGCGCCGCCTCGCGGGGCGGCTCCTTCACGGAAGGTCGGGGAAAGACGGTGTGGGTTTGAGGGGTGTTGGGCGGAGATGTGCATTGCAGCATCGTTCAGTTCACCGATTTGTCTTCGTGGGCGGACGGGGCGTTCCAGGATCGAAGGAGTTGGAGCTAGAGAGTATTACATGCCTCGGTATGTCGGCATGTGGATTCCGTATAAGTTGTCGTGGGTGTCGTTGCGAGTCGATTTTTTATTGTTATGCTCCTGTCGCTCATCCATTAGTTCGTCCAGTCCCCTCTTCTCTGTGCGCAGTAACGTCAACTGTTCTGTCAGCAGTAGGAAGTTGACGACGCGCGTGACCTGCTTGCCAGTGCGCTTGTCCCATAGTGGAACTTTGGCTTGGTAAGGCGGTGGCATCCTGGTCTTCTGGGGGTTCTTTTTGCGGCGTTGTGTTTCACAGCAGTCTGCGCGCCGCGACTGACAGGCGGGCCTGTCATATGACAGACCAGTCTGTCACATGACAGACTGGTCTGTCATATGACAGACTGGTCTGTCATATGACAGGCTGGTCCGTCATATGACATGCCCGCCCGCAGTCGCCAGCGCAGTCTGCTACGAAACAAAACGCTGTTCACTGAAAGAAAACACGGTCCTTGGATAGCTTCCGAGAGTAGTCCCTGTATGCATTCGACTTGGTAGTGGGACGCTTGCCGATGCGCCTCCAGCTTTGCAAAGTGGTGCACGAATTATTGTCATCGATGCTGGCCCTCGCTCCTTCGCCGACTTCGACCGAGCTCACGCGCCCAGTGCTCCACAGGCGGTGGATCCACTTCGATGCATTGCCACTGCTGGCGCTGCTGCTGCGGTCTCTGTCAAACAGCCGTTGCCTAACCCCTCGGCCTGGCATGCTGGGCGGCCGTCGCGCGCGTGCGCTGCCAGCCGAAACGCCATCTGATGACGCGACCGACTGACCCGCGATCCAACACGATTCGGCAGGCGGCATTCGAACGGATCCGATCGAATGCCGCCTGCAACAATTGGTCGACAACCCATCAGGATCGCAGGGCAGTCGGTTGCGTGACATCTAGTCTGCGATGTTCGCTCTCGCACTTGCGATATTGCTTCAATATCGTGCCTGCTCTGCTTAGTTATCCACCCTGGTCCTCCATCCCCCTTCCCCATCTCACCTCCTCGCCTCCCCACCTCGCCTCCTCACCTCGTCATCCTCTCATCGCCTTCTCACCTCGAGATGTCATCCTAACCCGATCATCCCATCCATCCCTGTACATACATTTCACGGCACGCAACCGTGCGACTTGCCTGGCATCACCCAAGCCAGGCTCGGCTGTAAAGAGCTCACGCAGAGCAGGATCACCTGATGACGTCCTCAGGCCTTGACATGCGGCCCCGCCGCCTCGCCTGCGTTGGCTACCTTCTTCATGTCGTTCCAGAGCAGGCGCCGCTCGAAGCTCGACCACGACTCGACAAGCTTACCGAGCTCCGTCTTCACGTGCTCCTCCGCATCCTGGCACATCTTGATCGCCGGCTTCCCCTGCAGCAGGCGGTGAGATTACATTCAACACTGCAGTAATGATGCACAGCCCCTGGACGGTTCGTGGGCGACCTCGGGCGACCACGGCTGGGCCGACAAGGCAAGAACGCAATGGGTGCATCTGGACGTTGCCGTTTCTGGTGGCAGCGGGGTCGACGCGGGAGGAGTTAGGGGGCTCAACCACCTTAGGCTGCTGGGTCAGCACCGCGCGCTTGAAGACGTTCACCCTGTCGAGGACCTCGCCAGCCCCGGCCATGAGGTGGTCGGCCGTCTCCTTGGGAAAGTCCCGCTTGAGGAGCGCGTCCACGACCTGCGGCACCTGCACCTCGCACGTCAGGCCGAACCCCGCGGCCTTCTGCTGGGCATCCCGGAACGCCTTCTCCATGGCCTTCTTCGCCTCGTCGGTCTGCAGCTCGAGCGCGCGGGCCTCCATCTTCTTCCCCTGCTCCTCCTGCGCGAGCTCGGCGATCGAGGCGAGGAACGCCGCCTCCGCGCCATGCAACTTCTTGGCCGTCTCGGCCTTCTTGGCCACATCCTTCTCGGCCTTCTTCCTCCTCTCGGCGTCCTTGTCGGACTCGACGGGCTCGCCGCCCTCGCCGCCGGTCACCTCGGGAGCCGACGCCGCCGCCGAGTCAGCGACGCTCTCGACAGCCACCGACCTTGCCGTCGACGCATGCGCCGTGTTGCCGTGGGCCATCGAGCCCGCCATGTGCACCGCGTCGAGGGCGGCGTCCCAACCGTCCATGCCCAGCAGCATGTCCTGCGGGGCTCGAAGGGGCGCAGGCCCGTCCTCCCCACTGGCCCCCCTCGTCATCGCCCCTCTCTGCTGCCCTCCGCCCCCAAGCGTTTCGAAGAGAATCCAGCCGCGGCGGCCTCGGCTCTTCCCCCGAAATCGCGCCACCTATGGCGTCGAGGAGGTATAGGTTGCCCATGCCGTTCCAAACCGCAACGAAAGCTCCTGTCCTCCTCCTCCTCCTCCTCCTCCTCCTCCTCCTCCTCGGCCGCGTTGCGCGGTCGCTCCTGCTGCGCCCTCACCGCGTCGAGGGGGTCCATGGGCGCCTCGGCCTCCACGGCGGCGGAGTGCGACGTCTGGTCGATCAGCTGGCCCTCCGCGTCCGCCACGTAGTGGTGCTCGATCGCCCCCTGCGCTCGAAGCGCCATCGAGCGCTTGCGCGGGCGAGAGGGCAACTCCTTCACGATCGCAGCTGCGTGCGCCTGTGGGCAGACCAACGCAACGGACCCATCGCACATCTTCTTCCTCCGCATCGTCATCCTCCTCAGTCCCTTCCGCATCGTCGTCTGCAGATTCCTCCTTCTCCTCCTCATCGTGATCATCCTTCCCGCACGTTTCGGCCTTGCTCCTCGTCGCCTCGTCCTGAGCATGATCCTCCTTGTCCCATCCTCTCGTCATTCGCTCTCATATCCTCCTCGTCCTCGCCATCGCATCGGTATCGCTGTCCGAACACGAGCTGGACACTAATGCTGGACACGAATTCTGGACACTGAAGTGGGCCTGTGCGTTTCAGGCCAGAGTGGGCGTCATTACCCTTTCAGGCCCGCTTCAGCGTCCGACTTCAGTGTTCAACTTCAGCGTCCAGCCCGTCGCTAGCCTAGAGCTCGGTCGGCATAACAAAAAGCGAGAGCAGAATGAAAGGAGAAAGAAAATAGCAAACTAAAAAAATAAAAAATACAACTTGAGAAATCTCTAGACAACAAGTATAAATAAAAAAAAATTGGGGGCGGTCTGGGGGTAGGGGGGGGTAATGTGGTAAAACAACGAGGCTAAGTTTGGCCCATCGTGCGATCGGCAAAACCGCCCCCCACCCGTTTTCAAACCCCTCCGTCCCTCCGTACGAGTTACTTGGGCCAGCCAAGATCGGACTACCGTCGCCAACGTCGATGATGCCCTCACCTCCTCGCCCACTTGTCAGGACCATGTGCACCTGCTGCGGGTACCAAGATGACGCGTGAGTAGGATTTGTTGCACAGCAACACGTGCACTAAAGGACGGGCGGTACGACGCACGACCCTCCTGGGCCGAACTGTTTTTTTTCTTCGGAGGGCAACATTTGGCCAACGAACTTGGCGAACAGGACAGGCCACAGGCAAGGACACGAGGGGTACCTTGGGAAAAGGTGGATGCTGATGTGGGGGGAACCCCAGGACGTTGACCTCGAGGATGAGATTGATGGGGATGTGGGTCGGGTGGACGGTTTGGACGCCCACGCACTTGGCTTTGCATCCACCCGTGGGCGGGTCGATGACGAAGCGCATCAGCCACTGGACTTTCACGGCGTCGCTGTGCCCGCACGTCGCAAGATACCTCGCGCGCGTGGCGGGGGCATGGTTCTTCAGGAACGTGTTCATGGCCGAGAACGGGGCCTTCTTGTCCTGGGGTCTCCGCATAGCTGATCCGAGTTCGGTGCATGTGCTGTTTGTCTCGGGCCGGGTTCGGGATGCTCCCGTGGTCTCGGGGCGCCCTCATGTGATGCGTTCGTCCAGCTTTAGGGTGTGATCACAGCCACTGGGGCCTTCGGCGGAGGAGCTCCCTGTGGGGCCACGAATCGTGCGAGGCGTGGCGGGGCGCATGTGATCACAATTACCATCATGCCCATCCTCTCCTTACCCCGTCCAACCACCGAGCCTCCTCCTCCTCCTCCTCCTCCTCCTCCTCATCATCATCATCATCATAATCATCATCATCATCAGCACCATCAGCATCACCATCATCAGCATCAGCATCATCAGCATCAGCATCATTATCATCATTTGTCTCCGTTCAGTTTCCATCCAGTCCTGCGCGTTCATGCTTGAAAGCATCGTCTGCAGCTTCACGGGGTCCTGGTCCGCGTCCTTCCACAGCTTCGCGATGCACTTCGGGGGCGGCGCGGTGACCAGCGGCTGATCGGACTCGTCCCCGCTGCCAACCGTCGCGTGGTCGACCTTCTTCGCGTGGCCCTTCGCCTTGGCCTTAACCTTGCCCTTGGAGTCCGTGCCAGCCTTCGGCATGGCGAGGGGCTGCAGCAGGGAGAGGGCGTCGCAACGCTGCCAGGACAGCACCTCGCCTTGAGCCCTAACGGTTTCAGAACCACCCCCAGACATCCCGTGGCCCCCTGATTCACGATCAGGTGCCGCAACTTCGGCATCGGACTTGGGGCGCCGAGGCTCGCGCGTTGCGCTGCACGAAGCGCCGAGCGCGCTTATCTTCGCGCTCCCCCGCCGCCCCCCGAGGAGGGCGACCCTCCTGCCCCGACCGAGAAGCGCGACGCGCGATGATCTTCGCGCTCTCCCGCATCCCCCGAGGAGGGCGACCCCCCTGTCTAAACCGCAAAGCGCGCAATGCGATCATCTTCGCGCACCCTGCGGGAAGTCACCAGGTCCACCAGGCTCCCGAGGGGTGGGGGGCGAGGTTGAGGTAGGTGAGAGGGGCTAACAGAACGTTTCCAAGCGTGGCGCGAAGCCACCACGCATCCGCCGCGGCGCCGCCAACTGCGGCCAGCGCGCGTCCACCGAGCAATCTGGCTGCTCGCCGACGCGCAGCCGAGACACTCAGCCCCCGCTCCGAAGGTTCAGATTAGTCTGTCATTTGTCCGGCATTTGTCTGTCACCAGTGGTTCTGCCGGATACATTCATGAAAACTGTGTACTTGTAGGTGACAGACACTGACAGACAAATGACAGACAAATGACAGACACTGACAGACTCACTTTAGCTGTGTTTTTACCGTGTTTTCTGACCCTGACAGACACTGACAGATCTGTCATATGTCTGTCATTTCTGGGGGTTCAAAAACTGATATATGTGTCGTGCGTTTGTGGGGGTGACAGACAAATGACAGATCTGTCATTTGTCTGTCATCTGTCTGTCGGTAGCTGTTTTTTGCCCCCCGAGGCCCCCTTCGGTTTAATCAACAAAAAAAAAAACAAAAAAACAAAAAAAACAAAAAAAAACGCGCGAAGCCGCCCCTTCGGGAAACAAAAAAAGCTAAAGCGGCCCTCGGGATCCAGCGCCCTCGGAGCGAAGGATTCGAATTGTATGTAGGTGAAGCCGACTGATGGTCAAGCCTCTCGAGGCCCCCTGGAGATCCCCGCTGGCCGTCTGTCGACGCAGTCGATTGCTTCTCAGGCCTCTCGAGGCCCATGGAGATCTCCGCGGGCTGTCGGCCGACGCAGTCGATGGCCCGTTGGGCCTATCGATGCACCTAGAGACCACCGCGGGCCGTCGGATCAATCCGAGGGCGGGTCCGACGCAGCCGTGGGCTGCTCCCTGAAGTTGATGAACGGGTTCACGTAGCTGGGGGGAACGTGAGCAAGCCACGCGAGGTGCCTGGGCCCATGGAATTCCTTGGAGGCCCCTGGAGCCCTTGGAGGCCCCAGGCCACGGAAACTGCCCCTTGGGGCCCTTGGAGGCCCCAGGCCCCTGGAGCCCCACGCTCCCCATTCATGATGTTTCCCCGATGCTGGAGGTCGCGGCCCCTGGAACGCCTTTCCCATGGTAATGTGGCTCGCGCGCGTTCTCCCTTCTGGCCTAGAGCTCCTGGGGCGCGTGCACGGAGATGGGCTCGTCGACCAGCCAGGCAACATCGCTGTCCTGGCGGGGGGGGGCGCGATGAGGGCGCGGGAGGCCCAGGCCCGCAGGGTGGTCGCGGTGCGCTATCGGGTCAAGTGTGATCGGGGGAGGCGGAGCGGGTGGATCACGGTGGAGCTGGAGGAATGTGTGAGCGAAGCATGGTGGAGAGGGGTGGAGGAGAAAGACGGGGTGGATGAGGATGGTTTTTTGTTTTATCGTTTGCCCATCACGCGTCCCGCGTGGAAATCCGCCGAACAACGAGCCATGCTGGAGGACGGTGTGTACCCTCGACGAGCTCTCGATGAGGAAGCCCGACGGGTCGCACATGCGCTGGACGCAGCAATCATGGTGGTCCACGCTGTAGACGCTGTCGCAGAGCGGGCACCGCCACTGGCCAGGACGCAGAGGGCTCGGGTCTGGAACGTCAAGGGCTGACCCGATCAGGTCGGCCAGCGTGTCGCCCTTGCCGCCAGCGGGGCTGCTGTTGCAGCTGATCGGGCTGGTGCTGATCTTCTGCTTCTTGATCGGCGTCACCGTGAGCGGCGTCGGCACGTGCGGCCGCTCATCAGACTCATCGCTCGAGTCCTCCTGCGCGGCGGCGGCCCCCTGTGAGCCAGGCGCCAGCTCGGGATGCAGCCCTGGCTTCATCCACCTCCTCAGCGATGTTTGCGTCGCCGATGTTGCTGATGATGCGGGCGACGATGCCGCTGGTGCTGACTTGCCCGCGCGGGCCCTGCCCGCGCGGACCTTGCCCTATCGGGTGGTGGGTGTTTGCACCTACGAACGGTGCGCAATCATGCAACGCACATAAAACTAAAGAAGATTGGACGAGGAGGAAAGGAACGCTGTAGCGTGGAGGTGTGGGAGTGAGAGAATGATTGGGTGGATGGGTGCGGGTGTGGGGGAGGGGGGCATGGCGGCAGGGGGCGGATGAGCGGGGGGGTGGTGGGCTGAGGTGGAGGGGTCATGGATATGAGCTCCATCCCATTCGACCTC